TCACATTAAGGGAATTATATATTTAATATACTATTAGTTTGCTACCGAACCTGACTTTTTCTTTTAACATTTTTTTTTAATTGCATGGCTTAGTTGTTTGCTATTAAGACCATAAAAATCGTGATGATATATAGTTTGGCATTAATATCATCAATGATTAAGTAACAATTACGAAATATTAATAATTGGTAAGCTGAGCTTCATGAGCTCAAAATTCACTTAAAGTACTTTATAATATGGGCCATGTTAGGATTAAAATAATAATATGTATCACAATAAAAAAGTATGTGAACAACTCAGCATGCTGTGTAAAGAAAAATGAGATCAATGATTTGATACAATGTAATAATAAGTATCTAAAATTCATTTTAGATTGATCCGATGTTAATTGTGCACACGTGTAATATCGAATTGACAGCTTTCACAGAACGACCAGCTCAATATTCTTCCTGCGGTATCTTAATTAGCATATTATTACCGAATTTTAGTTTTTTTTTTTTAATGATAAAAGTTTTTTACAAGATTGCTTATATATATATATTTTATTAAATGTACGATAGTATATAAATTAACCATTGTTTATAAAATTAATATAAATTTATATCAATAACACATTTTACAAGCATTAATTATATATAATTTAATTTTTTTATATTACTGATATATTTACCTAAGTAAGGTATAAATTAATAAGACTATTATAAGTAGAGTTGTTAAAGTGGGCGGGTCCGATGGAATAATTTATTAAATATAACTGATTGAGTTAAATACTTTACACCTTTTATTTTATTTTAATTTGTATATGGTGAACTAATTATTGAACTCATTTTTAAATTAAAAAAGTAAAATTTATTAATTAATTAAATATTAAATTTTAATAATATATATAAAAATATAATTTTTTATTAACTTTTGTAATTTTTTATATTTTTTAATTTTAAATGAATTAATCTATTAATTTATTGATCTATCAACTTTTTTTTTAGTTTTTAACCGCATGACTTATTAGCTTGTTAACCCATTTGTAAATGGAAAAAATTAGAAAATTTACTCTATTTTTTTAAATGGGATAGAATGGACTGACTCGATTTGACAAAATTCATATTTAATGAATGATAGTATATATTAATATTTTTATTGACAAAAATATATTTTTTGTAATATATAGTCAGTGTTAATTTATAGTATTTATTTTAACAAATTAGATTTTGCTAAAAAAAATATGTTAATAAAAAATTAGTCTAACATTAAATTATTAGTGATTGACAAATTTTTAAAATATTCGGACATTTGATTCAAATGTGTTTTATAAATGTTGTCAAGAACTAAATCATTCTTTGAAAGTGATATGCCCATGTTTTGATTTATTTTATTCACAGGTTAGAAGATGTACATTTCTTTTATTCTCCGAACTTTTACGTCGATTTTGTTGTACAAAAGTACAAAATTTATCTATCATAATCTTCGCCGCCACGTTTCACTGATATTTTAGAACTAAATATTTGTTTGGTCATGTAACAGAAACGAGAGAAAAATAATTAATAAATAAATGAAAAATCAATACTACTTATGTTATTTAAATAAGAAAACAGAGAGAACATTTAGCCTTTTTTTTCAATTTTAAAAATTAAAAGTGTAAATATAATTATTTTAAATAATTTATACGTCCTTAATTATACTACAGTGATGCGTCATTGTAAGAAAAATTTTCTCTTTCACTTAAATTTTTAATACCAAGCAAAAAAATATTTTTAAATATCTTAGAATAAAATTTATATTTTAAGTTTAATTACACTTTTAGTTTGTGTATTATATAATTTATGTGTGATTTGGTTTTATTTAATTTTAAATTAAGTTTCTCATATCACGATTTTATCTAAAAATTAATAAAAACATAACAAACATAATATATTATTAATTTAAATAAATTTTTAAAGAAAAATAAATATAATAAATTTAACACATATTTTTATATTAAAATTGAATATAAAAATATCCATTCTTGTATTTAATTCATTCTTTAACATCCACGTACATTTTTATATCATAAAAAATATTTTATATACAATTTTATATGTTTATTTAATTGTTTGTTATATTTTTAGATGTGTAAAAAAATAAAAAAAAAGATTATATAAGCAACAACTAAAAAAATACTATTTAATTTTTACTTTGGACGTTAATTAATGGAGAAAGAAAATCAAATAAAAAAGACACATTCCAATTAACATACAGGAAAACAAATTAAAAAGAAAAATTAATGCAAGTAGAAAATTCTAAAGCGTCCCTATACAAATGAATTTGGATAACCTGCAGATTTAACAAAAACTGCAAGCTATAATTTTTTATTCGTTTAAGCAAAATAAATTTGCTTAAGCGAATTCTGATTTAAGCAAAATTAGCTTAAAGAGTTAAAATTATTTTTTCACAAAATTCACTTAAACAAATTATTTAAATAAATTTATTTTATTTATACAAATGGTAATCTGTAATATACAGTTATTGTCAAAACTGTAGATGATCTAAATTTTTATACAAACACGTGTAGAATTGTCAATACAAAACAAAATCATCTAGTATATGTAATTTTTTCAAAAGTTATGAAAAATTATCACATAACATAAGTACTAAGAGTATATAATTATCGACCTTCTAATAATTTTTCGACCTACCATGCTGGCCACCTTATTTGTGACTACCTCAACCATCAATTCATCCGTTCGCTTCACGATTTGACTGATTTTTAGTTGATTCACCATATTTGTAACTTTGTCTCACAGTGAATGTATGGAAAATTAAATTGTGAGGCTCACTGGAACATTTTCTTGCCAGTGAAGGTACGATTATGGGCTGTTAGCATTTTTGTATTTTATTTAAAAAATAAATAATTTTTTTATTAAAAAAATTAGAAAAGTAATTAATAAATTTAACTTATTATATATATTATAAACAAAAATAAATTTTTAGGATAAATTTAATTTTAAATTAATATAAAGTATTTTTATATTATATTTTTATTCATTTTAAAAAACAAAATAAATATTTTTCTCACTTTTATTTTTACTCTATATTTTACCTATATTCTTTCTTCTATACTTTTTTCTCTATTTCACTCGTTGGTCCAAACAAAGCGTAAAAGTTGTTTGTCTTAGCATTAAAACTTCCCTTAAGCTATTGTAGAATTTATTTATTTTTTCTCTTTGAACCATGTGTCTCATAATTTTATGAATAAAAAATTATAAAAATAATTTATAATTTTGACATTTTATTAATTCATTTTAATAAATACTGTTAAACTTATAATATAAGATATTATTAAAATTTTAATTAAACTATATGTATTAAGTGCAATTTTATTAATAATTTAACACCATACCAATTAAATATTAATTAAAAAAAGATTGTGTAATTTAAAGTGATCAGTAAAAATTTTATAATTTATATATATGTATAAAGTATATATATATTTATTTATTTTTATCTAATTTAATTCAAATTACATACTTAAATATAATAGATAAGTCTATCATTAAATTTTTTTAATATATATAAAAATTGAAACCTAAAATCTGACTTAAATGACTTTTATCATTCGTTTGTTATATATACTTCGTTAATTATAAAAAAAACATACTTATTTGAGTGTGATTGGACAGTAGTAGCCTGAGGAGCAAGTGGTCCGTTTAGGATATAAATAGTTGAACATGTCCAATTTTTGTAGTACTAATAATTGTTATACCAATGTACAATCTTTCAATTATGGTGGTTTAGAATTGATAGAAATTTGATCGAGAAACAACTTAATGTAAAGTTGACACGTGGAAGAAATCATTATGCTTTGTTGCATGATTAGATAAATTGATTCTATTGTCGTGTCAGAACAAGTCAATCAAATTCCACTTCGTTTTTAATTATACTTTTTACGTTTTAAATTTTCAATCATATATATATATATATATGTGTGTATATGAGGTTTAATTTTTTATATATATAATATATATATATATATATATATAATTTTATTAATAAACTTACATTTTCATAAACAATTAAAATATTCATGTGTTTTAAAAATAACTGAGGAAGGAGAATCGGAACTCAATCCGACCCTTTTGTTAATCTGATTTTGTGTATTTTGCGAGTTAAAATTTTGTAAAATGATGAATTTTATTTAAAAAGTGTAGCTATAGAAGGTAATTCGCAAGTCAAAAATTTGATCTCCGTATCAGCTGTTGCCCATTTTCTTAAATACCAATTTGTGGTAGAAAGTGGACACTGATTCTCATTTATAGCAAAACCCGTGTTCTTCTCTGATTAATTTATTTTTCAAGTTCAGTCTAAACCAGGTTTTATGTCCTGTAGTGGTCTTATGTTCAAATTTGATACCATCCTTGCTAAAGTGCCCTGTTCTAAATTAATTCAAACACGCAAAGAGTGACGCAGTTTTAGTCAGAACTGCAAACAGTTGCACGGTTAGTGTTTCCCGCACAGTTTCGATCAGAGTTTTTTTCACTATATCAATTAAATAATTAATATTAAAATTAAGTTAAAACTTTTAATTAGTCATGTATAATTATTTAATTAAAAATTAATTTTTTAGCAGAATAACTTTAAACTTTTGCTTTAAGAGAATAACAGTGACAGATGTTGTGTGTCTCATTGTAACTTATAAAAGATAAAGGAGAATGTTAATAGGTTATATTAAGACTATTAATTAAGAAATTAGAAAATATAAAAAATGTTATATTAATGCACTTATTTATTATAATTTAAATGGATTTTTTTAATAATTTTTAATTAAAAAATAATGTAAGACAGTGGTTACCGGAAATAAAAGATAAAAGACGTGTTAGGGGCATTGCTATTATAGCACTTTTGCTTTTGCTTTTCGTGTATAAAAGGAAGGGCATCCATCTCACGTATTATATGAAGGTGTGTTGGTAACAAACCAAAGAGCATTTCTCTTCACTCTTCTCTCTTGGATCAGTCACTCACACACGATGAGTGCCGTAAATCCGAATGGCAAATTAGGCCTACTTTTTACTAATGCAAAACCATACATCTTAATGATTGGCTTGCAATTTGGCATGGCCGGCAATTACATCTTCGGCAAGGACGTTCTCAACCATGGCATGAATCGTTTTGTGTTCATTGTCTATCGAAATGCCATGGCCACAATTGCCCTTGCCCCTTTCGCATTCATTTTTGAAAGGTGTCACTGTTTTCCTCACTCCCTTTACACGTTCATTCCCTGTCTTTCTTGTCATTTTTTTCTCTATAAATGTACGGCTTATTAAAATAAGTTTAAATAGTTTATTTTAATAAGTTACTAAAATTATATACATATTTTGTAGATTTTATCAGTGGTGTTTTTTTATGATGGTGGGAACTCAATTTTGACGTTACATTTCTCAATTGTTTTTACTTCTTGTTTTCTTTTTTCAGGAAGAGTAGGCCTAAGATGACACTCCCAGTCTTTCTACAGATAATGGTCCTGGGATTCCTGGAGTAATGATCTAAAATTAACCTTACACATATACAATACATGCAACAACCGTATCTGCAAGCATATGCATATAGAGGAATACAAACGCATATTTACTTGCAGCGTATGCCCGTGCAATAGGGGCAAAAATTATCTTCCTTTGCAGGATAATAACCTTGTTAATTACATGGCTAATTTTGACCAGGCCAGTTTTCAATCAAAGCTTCACTTACTTGGGGATGAAGTATACTTCGGCTTCATTCACATCTACTATTGTGAACGCTGTGCCCTCTATCACCTTTTTGCTTGCAGTCTTCGTCCGGTAAATAATTATAATCAATTTAATAATATATAATTGGGAATTGCATAAATACTTATATATATATATATATATATATATATATATATATATATATATAAATAGAACACATAATGTCCGTGTACTGAATAATATTTTTCTATTTACTGTACAATATAATGTGCAATGAACGTTTGCTTTGGTTTTGTTTAGGTTGGAGCGTGTAAAATTAAAGGAAATTCGGAGCCAAGCCAAAGTGATTGGAACATTGGTAACGTTTGGAGGCGCTTTGCTAATGGCAATTTACAAAGGCCCTGCATTCAACCTTTTTCATTCTGGAAGCACAACCCACCAAGACAATGGAAGCCACTCCTCTCCCAATAACCACCAAACCGCTGGAGCCATTTATATACTAATGGGTTGTGTGGCTTTGTCGTCTTTCTACATTTTACAGGTAAAGTAAACCCCGCAAAAGCACACACCCAGAGTCATCACTAGTGTTCCACTAGCCCAACTATTTTAGAAGGGAAATGTTGTGTACTTGTAGAAGTAGACTCCCAAATATAGGTATTAATTTAGAACAATGAAATTGATATTAAAAGCAAAAAAGTTATTAGATTTGTGGCAAATATGCAATGAGTGCATGATCTTAATAATTTGTGTCTTCAGTCCGTAACGGTGAAAAGATACCCAGCGGAGCTATCATTGGCGACCTTGATATGCCTGGCGGGAACAGTGGAAGGTAGTGTGGTGGCACTGGTGGCTGAGCATCACTCCCGCGCTTGGGCTCTTGGTTGGGATTATAGACTCTATGCTCCTCTTTACACGGTTTGTATAATTTATTACACTCTTCAAATTCCTGTTATGACCCACAGTACTTTTCCCCCTTTTAAAACCATAAATTATTTTTTAGAAAGATATTTTAAATAAATTAAATTTAAGCTTAATTTCAATAAATTTTTAGAGAAGTTACTATATAAAAAAGTCGGTATAAGAAATATTTTTTTTAAATTATAAATAATTTATTTCTTCAAATTTTAAAGAAGTTAAATAATTTAAAAAAATAAAAAGTATAAGTTATTTTTAATTTATGAAATAAATTTTATTTATCCAAAATAAAACTTAGTTAACTCCTTTTAAAAAAAGATAACGTAGAGAAAAATATTTTTAAATAAAAAATAATATCAAATGATGCTAGGTTTCAACCGTAGGTTTTAATTTGATCATTTCAGGACATACCATGGTGTGTTATGAAATCGAGTAAAAAATAATAACTAAAGAAATACAGAATTTTAAAAACATGTATTTAAGCATTTATTTAGACAGATGTTGATAGGTTAGGGTGTTCAAACATTAATTTTACAAATACAAAAAAATTATTTAACCATCTTAAATAAAAATATATATATAACTTGAATTCAACTAAGCACCTTTTAGTCACGAGTAGTAAAAAGATTATTTTCATCTAAATTTGCAGTCTTAAGTTTAAACCATAGTAAGAGTTTTGTCATTTATAATAATTTTATTTAATTTAAATAAAATTGTCTCTTATAAAAAATATATATAGTCTAAATTTAAAAATATAAAATATTTTTTCAAACATATATTAAATTTCAAAAGTGAAAAAGAAATTTTTTTTACATTGATGAGAATTTTATAGAGAATTTATTATGAAATGAAGCTAAAAATTGTAAATGCTCAATGACGCAAACTTTGTCACTAATACATTGTCAATTAATATATTCAGATCTTCAATCACAAAACACCACGGAATTGATTTGATATGACTTCAATAAGGTCTTGAGTTATGAACAATTAAAATAAATATTAACCCTTAATTTTTAAAATATTAACACAGATTTTAATTTTTTAAAATCGAAATAACTTTTAAGTGGCTTTTTCTCGGGCCTTGATTCAGTGGTTGACAAAGGTTCATTTAAAGACAAGGCTAAGTCTAACAAAATTTTTGGGGTCCACTAACGTGTTTTCATTTAAGAAAAGGGTTCACGTTGGACCTCTAATGTATTTGTGGATGAAAAAACCTAGTTTCTGTGGCTACCATAATATTTCATAAAAAACAAAAGAGACGAGTTCGATTTTATAGCATCCCTTTAACCAATTTACAAGCACATCACCTTCCCTTAGACTCCATTAAAAGAGGTTTTCTATTTAATTCGAATAAGATTTACTACAGTAAAAAGTATAAATAATAAAAAAAAGTCACAATAGTTAGAAAATCCCAATAATTTAATTTATTTAATCTCATTGACTTTTTATTTTTTTCAGGGACTAATTAGTTCAGGAATTGCATACTATGTTCAAGGGCTAGTGATGAATATAAGAGGCCCCGTATTTGCAACAGCGTTTAATCCTCTTTGCATGATCATTGTTACTGGTTTGGGCTCTCTTTTATTGGGAGAACAACTCCATCTCGGAAGGTATATTTCTATTTCTATTTCCTTGGTTAATCTTTGCCAATCTACGCTTTCACATGCATAGTTTATTAATATTTTTTGTAATCCATGCTTTCAATTCATTTGTCTTGATGACAAAACAGAGGAAAAGAAAACTCACATGCCTAAACCTTCTAGTAACTAGTTATACTTTTTTTTTAATGAATCTTGTTAATTAGTATTCTAAAAATATAAGTTAAAAATTAAAAAAATGTTTTTTTTTTGGAAAATTATGTTAAAAACACATTGAAAAAATTTATAAGAATGTAATAATAATATTTCTTAATAAATATATTTTACTTTTAAAATAACACCTTTAGGATATTGATTAACATTTATCTTTTTAAGCAATTTTTTTATCAAAAATTTATTGTAATACTTATTACATTTTATATCTCAAATAAAAAGTCTTTTTAAAAGGTGCATCAAAGACATCAATTAAAAAACATTTAAATCACTTTTAAAAAATTATGATTATTTAAAATATAAACGTTATATTATATATTTTTACATAATAATTTTTTTTATTTTAAAACAATTATTAACATTTGTCATTAGAAATTACAAATGCATTCTTCATTCATTTAATCCGTTTAATTTTTAAAACAAATAGTTTAGTAAGAAAACTCATAAATTATATAGCATTATTAGTGAATAGCCAATTAGCAGCCAAGTTACCACTTATCACCCTATTTAATGTTTTTTATTCGCGGGAAAAGAAAAATGGTCCAATGAATGTTTTCACTCAAAACAAATATAACAAATAATGATGATACAGCAGTAGCTAGATATGATGTGACCTGTTAACAAAAAAAAGACATGATATGACTCCAATTAAACTAATACACCCACGTGTACTTCCTTGAACTTTCTTGAAACTTCAGAGGGTGGAGCTTTCTGAATCCAAAAAATTAGAGATTGTGCGGTTGCCGATGCAACAAAATTCCCTGCATTGGCAAATAATAATTTTGTATATATTACAGTATAATTGGAGGCATCGTCATCGCATTGGGCCTTTACTCGGTTGTGTGGGGCAAAGCCAAGGACTATTCAGACTCGAAATTAGCACAAGCAAATGTAGGAGACACAAAGTCACTGCAAATCACCACAAATGATGACTCCAAGATTGATATTATAATTGAGAATTTGGAAAAACAAGCATCAACCAAGCAAAAACTAGAGGAGCCCAACAAAGAGGGAGAAGAAGAAACAGAGAACGGTGTTATGAAGGTTTAGCTATAACTGGTCAATGTCTCTTCGGGCACCCACAATGCGGGAACTACAACGAATGCATTGCCTATTGGTCAAATCTCAATGTGTACCAAAATATAAAGTATGAGCCTAGGCAACTTGCGGGGATTAGCCACATAGCTAGAAACTAGAAATAGAATTCCTCTATATATTGTATTTAGTGTTGAGCTAGCAAGTAGGCACTTTCTGTTTGTAGAGTAGATAATGTGCTTCGCTACTTATGTAACCTTATATATAGACAAGGCAGTGAGGGATTAGTGTGAATGCATGCTCTTTAGTTTTTATACTCACGTCTCATCCATAAGTAATGCTGCCTATATTTGTTAATAACACGACGTTGCACGATTGAAGGATTCAGTGTATAACTTTTTACACTATCTATCAAAATTAAACCATTAATTAATTTGATCTTTACGGCTTTTTATAAAAATTCACAGGGAGATGCATTGGCTGTGCACGCATCGTGAAGGGGTTAGTTGACTCTTTCGGAGTCATGGTAAAACGGCAATGAAAAGTAAATAAAACAAAGTTATTAAAGTGTCCAAGAAAAAAAAAATGGTCAGCATTTAGAAACACTTGGGCTGAATGTTTGACCTTGCCCATGCAACACTAGGCCCATCTTGGGCCTAGGTGTGAAGCGAGACTGATGATTTCAAGCGTCATACTGTATACATTGAATTTATCAAATTCATGATAACTCTATTTTTTAACAGATCCATGGAATTAATAATTTGCGACCAAATAAATTAAAAACACTTGTACATTTGTTTCCTTTTTTTTTTCTTGTCATGGTACAAATGTTATAACAGAATAATTTTGTACGACTAAATATTTGGGCCGAGTATTTTTTTGTCGTTGAATTTGGGCTGAATGTTTGAATTTGACCAATCAATACTAGGCCGGAACATGGGCCTATAGGCCCGAGCAACCGTTGATTCCTTGGATCTTAGAGTTTAATTATGTTTTATTTTACATCTGTAAGCAACCTCCGAAATAGTTGTTTGTGTGTTATGAAACGTTTTCCCCTTTTAGGAACTTAGTCTTATTTGAGTTTTTATCGTTTTTAGGAAATTTGATCCCGCATCTTGGAGAAAAATTAACAATTGCTTTTAGTAAAAAGAGTTTATATTAGTTAACTTATCATAACAAAAATATTTAATAAAATTAAGTATTTCACTAGTTGACGAATATAAAGTAACCTAATTTGATTCTAAGAACTGGATCAGCAAGCACGAAAGTAATTTTTATTTCCATGACATACTTTATCCGGAATCCCCAAATAAAATTAATTGTAAGAATTTGATTCTTTCTTCTCAAATTTAAGCACGAATGAAAATATCTAGAGTTTGTGTTTTGTTCCTTCAAGCACATTGACCTTGATTTTTGGAAAATAATTTTTTCTTACAATTGTTTTTGTCATAAAGCAAATAGACGTTTCATTTGTAAAATTTCTACAAATTCAGATCCTCGTCTTCAGCCTTTATATCCAGCATTATAATTTCTTTACTGATTTTGACATTCACATTTCTAATGAACTCCTTGTTTCAATTTTTCAAATAAACAATATCTAACACTACACGTGCCTTCTAACCTTTATCTTTGTGTGTTGATCCAAAGGTCTTGCATCGATTTATCAAAACCACCATGCAACAACCAATAATTGTTATAGTTGAAAGGTTTTATTTCCCAATTATGACAATAGTTTCTAAGGTTGATTAGGATCAAAATCCAAAATTGTGAAAACTTCCACTCACTAAGATATTTTTTAAGAGAAAAAATTAATCCAATTAACTCATTGTTGATCCACGAATGATGCATGCAAAATATACTAAAGGAAAATGTACCCAACAACACAACTAAAACAGGATCGAGTCTCAAATATTGTTATATCATAATTTTTATTTTCAAAATTTTTAAATTGTGTTTGGTTTGAATTTTTATTTTAAAAAACAGAGAATACATATCGCTAAAACAGAAAAGGAAAATATATTAAGGATAATTTTTAGTCATATGGAGGTTTGGATGCAAAGTATATTACAGAAAGAACGCATGAAAGAGGTGTACCGGATAAGATAGTACTCGGTCTTTCCTGCAGAAAAGGAAACCGAATACTTCTTCAGTCAGATCAAGTCGAGTACCCTCTCAACCAACATTAAAGGTAATGAACCCAAGGTAACAACCAAATCATTAATCCTCTCTAATTAAAGGGTCAAAACCAGACTGACTCAGCAAGTCCATTAATCCATAATATTACCTATAAAAGGAAGCTAGGAAGTACAGGTAAGGGGTTGACTTTCAATATTAAATAGCATTTATTATTTAGAACCGAATCATAACTTCAGCATTGGAGTGCCTTTTGTAGGTATCCTTCTCACGTCAGGCCACATCAACAGCAGTCAGACAGTCAGAAGGACGTCATTACTTCAGAGCAGAGATCTGAAGACTAGTATTTTCCTAATAGAAACAAAAGGTAATGGTTGATGATGGCTCGCAAACTCACTAATGAATTAGGTCTCTCTCACTACTATTTGATTCAGAAAATTGGACCATAAGTTTCGCATTCCATATTCACATTCACATTCACATTCACATGATGGCATCTCCTCAATTGATTAAAGGTTATTATTGATCTTTAATGGATTAGAATGGATAAGATCAATGCTGCGTAAGTGCATATGATCAGTCCATAACTATTTTTAAAGAACTTTAAAAGGAATTCCACTCAGCATAGCAGATACGGACACACCATGCATGGATCCTTAGCTTTTCTCTCTTATTTTATTTCCAATAACTTTTGCTAATACTTCTTTCAACTTGCTTTTCGGGTCACATTTGTGTTTTATTCACGAAAAAGTTTTCTTATTTTTTTTATAAATAATTTTAAAAAGGCAAAAAATGTTTTGATAATTTTTTAAATTTAAAATTACTAGATTTTTTCAAATATTAAAAAGGTATATTTTAAAACCTGAAACGTATCCTTAACACGTCAATTTTAGAGCAAAACCGATAAAGATCTTAAAGAAATATCAATTATTGAAAGTTATTGGAAGCGACCAAAGCATAATTGATTGCATGAATCTGTTTGGTAGAAACTTTCTATTAGCCAAAGAAACACAAGATTTACTGAACCAGTTTCCTATGTCACAAACAATGGATCGACAATGCTACATATAGGGAGAGTGTGAGAATTCATTGAAATTGAATACTTAATTTGTTTGATAACTTTTTAATATATTATTTTATCTTAACAAATATTATATTTTTTAAATGCAAATAAATATCAAAATTTAAATAACATGTTTATAAATTTCTAAGTTATGGAAAACTTGATATATAATATTATAAAAATAATATAAGATTCATTGGTAAAATATATCAATAAATCTTACATTTTCAAAAAGTGTAAAATATATGATAAACAAAAGAAAAGAAGGAATTGAAAATAAAATAAAAAATCATATAATAAAAAGTGAAATTTATATATTCATAATTCATGTGTCGATAATTAACAAAAGTTGGGTTGAGTGATGAGAATCAAGTAAAGAACTTTGATTAGCTGAAAAGTGTCAATAATGGTATTTGGCTTTGAACGGTCTTGACCAAAATTTCCACTTTTTAGCTGATGAAGAGGATGCTGTGGATTGGGTGGTACCTCGTGCCCAGAATACTATTTGCATGTTTGTTGGTCTAATGGCCTTTCATCATCTTCCCTTTATTATATATCATTGTCTTCGTCTCTTTTTTCTTCCCTCAAATTTTATCATTTTATAATCTTTCATTGTTGTCTCTATGATCTTAATTATTGCTCACCCGGGGAATACGCCACCTTATATGTACGATCAGATATCAAGCTACTTAAAAGAGTATTAGCTACTTTTTTTAATAATTATTTATAGATAATGAATTTTATCATATTAAATAAAATTATATATTTAGGTTTATTATAATATATATATTTATATATAATATTTTAGATAAATTAAATATACCAAAACATGTATAATATTTACTTATATTTTAAAAATGTATAATAAACATTAAAATGAAGTTATTCGTTAAATTATTCATTAATTTTTTATTTATAATTTTTTAAATTTAATTTATCTAAAAACTTAATTTAAAAGTTGAATTGATGAAATTTAAATTATAATTATACATATAAAAACACATTGAGAAACTTTTTAATGTAAAAAAGAAGGTAAATATTAATTATGCATATCTAATATAGATATTGACTATTCATATAGAGCTTATATGTGGATATCAAATAGTCAATGTATTTAGTGTTGTGAATATCGATTTTTGCATCTTTGGAATGACCTCCAATTTTTTTTTTAGTTTATAAAAATAAAATAAAATTATTTTACAGAAAAATAGAAAATTTTAAAAAAAGAGAGAAACCAGATCATGAAAATGGAAGTCTTGCACCGTGCAGGTTTACACTGTAATTTCAAAACTGACTTCATACACCAGTGTCGCAACCGGGCGATTGCAACGGTACGGCGAAAAACACTTTCAAAAATATCAGAGGAGTCGCTACCAAAGTTTATTTTAAAAAAACCTTGAAAAAACTTTTTAAATAATATGATCTTTGAAACTAAAAATGAGTTCGGAGTCATTTACGTATAGGGAAGGTATTAGCACCCTACAACTTCCGTTTAAAAACAGTTACCTTAAATTAATTGTGCGAATTCATTTTAATCTTGAAAAATATTTATTTAAATCCTAAATATCAAATATTTTTATTTTAGAAGAAGAAATATTATTTATTGAAATATTATTTGGGTTATTTTAAAAATTATTTTGACTTGACAAGTTCGGTTCCCGCTCCTACATATCCCCGAGTGCAATGGGTAACTCAAAGCTATGTAGTTCTATCTAAAAAGTTATGAGGTTGGTTAATTAAAATTAAGTTTAGTAAAGAAAATTTATTTTGAGATTAAAATTATTTTCATAAAATTATAATGTTTAGGATACAAGATAAT